TCTCTCTTGCTCTTGCTCTCTCCCTCTTCATCTCTCCTCTTTTTTTTCTCTCTCTCTCTCTTTCCTTCTTTCTTTTTTCTTTCTTGCACTGCTGCAGTAAAGCTCTCTTGGTCACTCTGAATGTTGTGGTCACTTTTCTTTCACACCCTCTTTTGGGGGGTTCCTTCCAGGAGCTGGGCTGAGCTAGGGAGGGGGGTATGATTACCTCCTTATTAGATGAGGATGCAGAGTTTTCCAGGGGCTGTGTCACCTGCCTAAAGTCACATGGTGGGCAGAAGGTGAAGCCCCAAGAAGAACCCAGAGCCCAGCCCTCCCGCCCCCTCCCCTCTTCTCACAGCTGACTATCCCAGCCTTGCAGGAAGCTCAGGGGTGGGGCGCTCACCACCTTTACCTTACACAGCTGCTCTCCTGAGTGGACCGCGGAAGGAACACTCTGAGCTACCTCTGCCTTGGAGGTGCTGGCCTGGCTCTGTCCCTCCCCCCTGGTAGACCTTTGATACCTGCACAGTCCTCTGGCAGGAGAGGACTCCAGATCCATCTCTGCACCACACCCATGGGGCCCTGCCCTCCCTCCAGGCTATCCTGGCTTTACAGCAGGAAGGCCGGCTTCTGATCCGCCTGCCCCCCTACACTCTGTCTCAGTTGAGGCTGCTTCCCCAGCTGGAGACCAGAGGAGGGATGGACCGTCCAGGGCATTGGATGTGGCAAAGTGGAGAGAACCGGCCCAGCCTGATAACCCTAGTATGGGGAATCAGCCTTTGGGAATGGGGTCTGCTGTCCCAAATCAAAACTCCAGCCGCCTCCATCCTGGGGACCTGAGATGGGTGTGTGAGTCCAGCTCATTTGGGTGCGGCTCAGCTGGGCCCCTCCTGCACCCTCCCCAGAGGCTGGAGCTGGGAGGAGTCTCTGGGTGGGGAGGAAGTTCCTGGGGCTGAGGCAGGGACTGGGGCTGCACCAATGGACCTTGGCTTCTCTAGCCCAGATGCCTGGTGAGCACGGAGACAGAGGGACAGGTCTCTGTGCACTACTGACAATGGGAAACCCCATTCCTCCAGTCCAGGATCTGCCCCTGACAAGGCCGAAGGTCACATCAGGAGGGGGATCCAGTCTCAAGCTGCCCCTCCCCACAACATGTGGATTGCTCCGGGTCTGTCCACTCACCACAGAAGATGTCTTGCTGGCCGACAGAGAAAAGGTACTTTTCCAGTTTGGGTTCACAGCCCAGCTTCCCCAGACGCCCATAGCAACAGTCATGGGCGTGGCAGCACCTGTGGGGTCATGGTCAACTGGAGGGGCCTGTGAACCAGGCCAGGCTGGACAGGGAAGGCTGGGGCACAGCCCAAAGGAGCTCGGAGGAGAGAGGGTCAGTTGCTGGTCTCTCGGTGCCCCCAGATCCTTCCCCCTCCCAGGGTGCTCCTCCCAGAGGGTTCCCCTTGCTGGCCACCTCCTCACCAGTCTGTCTGGTCCACTGGCCAGTGGGACCCACCGATGCCACAGTAGCAGCCGTAGTCATTGTACTGCAGAGCTGACTTCCCTGTCATCCTCTCGATCATCACCCCAAACTGGACCAGGTTCCCGCTGGCCATGGCCACTGTGGAGGAGGAGGGAGCCTGTCACCCAGGGCCCACCCCTCATGTCACTCAAATCTGATTCCAGACAGCTCAACATTTGTCTAGTGAAGCTTCTCTCCCCAAAGCACCCCGTCACCAATAACAACAATGATGCTAAGTAGTGACCCCTCCGGTGGCATCCTTTGCGTCGTAATCCTATCGACCCCACTCCTACACGTCGGCCACACCCCCCCACCCTCCTCCACCACCCCAGGAATATCCCTCACTCACCCTTCTGGGGACCCCCATTGGCTTTTCACCTCTCTCCCAAAGACCTTCATTGTACCCCCAGCTGTTAGCTCCGGTCTCCTCCGAGAGTGTTCTGTCCCCTGAGGTCTCACAGACACCACAGGACATGATTCCTAACTCCCTCAAGGGACCCCCCTGAATTCCTCCAGATCCTCCCAATGCAGCCATGGCGCGGTGCCCACCGAGGCAGGTTGGAGCCAAAAATGGAGCCAGTACAGGGAGGAGCCCGAGGTGCTGCTGGGGTCCCTGCCAACCCCTGTCCATGCTCCCACCCCTCCTCGGGCTGCACTCTCCCCCTTACTCCCCCATCTCCTCCAGCCACTGCTGGCTTGGGCAGAACTGGCTTATCCCCTGGTGGCAAGAAGAGGGGGTCCCCAGTAGTTGGTACCCATGGTGCCCTCTGGAGAACCAAGCTCAGGGGCATCCAGCAGGCTCCCGGTTGCCAGATAGGGGGGGCGGGAAGGGGGACTGTCACAGGTCACGAGTTCACTTACCCAGGAGGCAAAGGAAGGCCAGAAGATGGGGAGGGTTCATCTTGGGGGTCTCGGAAGAGGTGAGCAGGGGGCAGAGGAGCCTGAGAGTGGAAGGGAGTGAGCAGGGGCGCTCTGAATTCAGGGCACCTCCCAGTCAGTTAAATACCCAGTTCTGTCCACTCCCCGTCATTAACCCCTGAGTGCCCAGTGATGCAACGAGCCTTCAGGTCTGAGACTCTGGCCAAGTCCCCAGAGGAGGGGCCAGCTGGGCCCACAGCCCAGGAAGCAGGGGATGTAATGGCTCTCCCCTCTCATGTCCTCCGTCACCTCCCCTTTCCTAGCCACTGTCCTGGTGCCCCTGGTACCCAGGGCCTGGGGCTGGGCTTTTCTTTCTTGACATCTTTCCCTCGTCCTATTTTATCAATTCGGCGACTGAGACCCAGAGAGGAGGAGAAACTCGAGCTCTCACAGCAGGAGTGCCACGTGCCACGTCTGCCCCATTTCCACATTCCCACTGGGTGAATGGAGGCAAGACGCCCTCCCCAGGCCTTCCCCGCTCCCGACCTGCTACTGGGATAACTTGACCATCCACTTCCATCAACGTTCAGGGCCGGGAGCTGCTGGCCCTGGCCTGGGAGTCCTGGTTCTGCCACTTATTACGTGGCAGATGCTTTACCTTGCTTGGATCCTCAGTTTTCCTGTGTAGATGACGGGGTAGAAGGCATCCCACCCTTGCCTCCTTTGTGGGAGGACAGGAAACTCCAATGTGACTAGGCAGTGGCCCTCATGGAACCTTGGGCACCCTGCTGAGCCCCTCACAAGCAAGATCAGCTGAGCCGCGCGTCCTGTGTGCTATGACCACGACCACTCCCATCTTACAGAGGAGGGAACCGAGGCTCAGGCCTAAGTAACTGGTGAGTCAGAATTTGGGTCCAGGCAGCCCAAAGGACTTACCCAGAGCCAACGTATCTTCCAGGTGAAGGGGATACAGAGCTTAACTAACACCCATACCAGTTTTGAGATCCTTCAAAATGTTTCAGTTTCTTAAAAAAATCAGAAGAAGAATGAGTACAACTCAGCCTGGATTATATTTATCTTCATATTAACATGATTGTTAAATTTTAACTTTTTTTTTTTTTTTTTTTTGGTCCTGGGGATTGAATCCAGGGGCACTTTGCTACTGAACCATATCCCCAGCCCTTTTTCATTTTTGTTTGGAGACAGAGCCTGCTAAGTTGCTGAGGCTGGCCTTGAACTTGTGATCCTCCTGCAGCCCACAGAGTGGCTTGGATGATAGGCATGGGCCACCATGCCCAGCTGTAAAATTTAACTTTTAGTATGTTTTTAATCTGGAGGAAAGGGTTCACAGAGGCAGAAGTGGCCAGGATTTGTGACGAAGGTCATGCTGGGACTCTGGGCTGAACCACCTGGATCCAGGCTGCAGGTGCACATGTAGGGCCCGGGGTCAGCCTCCTTTCTGGGAGAGAAGACAGAGGAACTGGGCAAGGCTGGAGCTCCCAGGAAGGAATCAGATAAACTCACTGGCTGGGGATGGAGATCTGGGGAGTTTTGGCAATTAGGAGCAGAGGGCTGAGTGGCAGAGATCCTGGGCTGTGATTTGGGATTAAAGGTTGTTAACAGAGGAGTAAGGCCAGTAAACAGGCTGCAGCCCTGCCTCCTGCCCTGCCCATTCACTTCCTGCTAATAGCTCCCCTGTGCCTCTCCACACCTCGGCCTGCTCTCTCGCCCCTCTCTAAGGAAGTCTGAGGGCCAGTGAGCCAGAGAAGTTAGTCCACCTGCCCAGAAGCACCCAGCAGCCGTGAGTCACCGTCTCCAGACAAGGGGGCTCCCTTTTGCTCACCGTTTCCTTTTGATTTTAACAAGGGCCCCTAGCAGCCCCTGGCTCCTGGCCTGAGCCACAAGGGACCAAACAGTGAGTCACTGAGGAGCTGCCTCAAAAGCTAACCGAAAATTAGCTTTGATTCCCGGGGAGGTTTGGCCCACAGCTGTTCCGTGGCAGCAGGAGGGGTGTTCCCAGGAAGAGCCAGGTTTCTGAGACAATTGCTTTCATGACCCACTTCCAGTCCTGGCCTGTCCAGGACAGGGCCCCTGCAAGCCCCTGCTGGTCTATACCTGGGGCAGAAGACGGAGGAGTGGAGGGCCAGAGGCTGGTGGCGACAACGCGGCTGTCTTCCAGGCAGACAGACATTGTCCCAGCTGAGGTTCGAGGTGGCAGTGTTGGTGGGACCTGGTCTGAGGGACACTTGCAGACATTTGGGAAGGGTCTTGGTATGGCTTTCACACCACCAGCACCATGTGGCAGGGAGTGTCAGCAAGACCAGGGCCTGAGCGGCAGCTCCTCCGCTCTGGGGCTGTGTGAACTTGGCCAGTCCCATGCCCTCCCTGAACCCAGCTTCATCCTGCGTAGAACAGAGACAAGCGACTGACCCTGCAGGGGTATGAGCCAGACCGAAAGGAAGGGAAACGCGGAAAGCCCTCTGCAGGGCCTTGCCCAGGGGAGAAGCCCATAAATACGGGCTCCTCCTTCCCTCCCTGCTTACCTGGCCACAGGAGGCAGTGCCTGTCCCAGGAGCTCAAAGCATTTATCCCCATTGGGGACGAGCGGGCAGCCTGGCCAGGGCTCCTGGCATTTTGATAGGATCATTGTCCCCACTTGACAGATGAGGAGAGAGGGGTGATAGGTGACAGGTGAGGACTGAGGGGTGATGCTGAGGAGTGAGGAGTGAGGGGTTAGGGATGAGGGTGGGCGTTGGGGTGGTTGGCGTGGAGACCAAGTGGAGGTGGGTGGAGGATCGTCCCTTCTTCTCATAGCCTCTGTTTCTTCCCTCAGAACCCTAGGGATCCTATAGACCTCTTTGAACAAAGTGGAGGATCACCTTATTCCTGGAAGGACTGATTGCCCATCCAGTCAGTAAACTACATTGAGGACCTACTATGTGCTGGAGAGCGAAACCAGGCCTGGTTCTCTATTGGCTGGAGTCTTTGAAGATTCTGGAGGTCTGGGAGCTTTCAGGCATGGCTGGATCATGGCTCTGGCTCTGTTTCCTTTGCAGTTCTTCCTCTCCTGCTCCTTCTCAGGGGACTTCTTGTGTGGTTTCAAGGTGTCTGCATGTGCCACAAGGGCCTCCTGCTTCCTCATTCCCGTGGGGGAAAGTAGAAGAGGCAAATCTTCCCATGGTCATCCCTCAAAGCCCTCAACTTTGTTTTATAGGAACAACATGGGCCAATCTTTGTTGCAAAGAGGGTTCGATGGATTGGCTTGTCCTTTGAGGCTCACCCTTGGTTCCAGGGAAGGGGAATATGTCACCCAACTGCCCAGTTGCTGTGCCATAAGGGAAGGGAGACTCCCCAAGCAAAACTCTGGATTCTGTTAGGAGGGCAAATAGGTGCTGCAGAAGCCATTGGAGTGTGTTCCTCTACCCTGTGTGCCAGAACCCGGGGTATTTCTGGAACCACCTTCAGCATATCCAGAAGTGCCTTTTAAATCAGAGGTAGGATGAGGAGAAAGGCTTGGTCTTTTGAGGTGAGGGATGAAAAACAAATTTAAACTAATTCGATAAAATCGCAAAGCTAGAACTACCCCCAGAGAACCATCCGGAAGACCTTCAATAGATTCGGGCGACTCTGGAGATATTCTCTCTGAGCCCCGGAATCTTCATCCAGGGATATGAATTTTGCTGTTCCAAGTTGTTGGAGGACATGCAACTGACATCCAGGAAGTCACCATACCAAGAATGCCCCAGGATGTCCCCTACCAGCCAGAACACAAACAAAACCATTGAAGGAACTGGACTCCCTTACACAGAGAGAAAGGACAACCACGGGAAGAAAAACCAGCAAGGTAAGATGTAAGAACAAACAGAACCGAAGCAAGGAGCTCAGGGGCTCTCAGAAATCTGCAACACAAAGGAGCTGCCAGAAGTCAGAGGGAGCCGCCTGAGCAGAAGCAAACACCTTGAGTTGCCTGGAGATGCTCAAAATAGGTCGGAATTAATGGTTCCCACATCCTTGCTCAGAGAGAAAAGACTCCAACAGGTTCAGCTTAGCAGACATTTATGTTTCCAACACTGTGTCGACGGACAGATGGAAAGGCTCCCCGCTGATCCCGGTGGGCACAGACAGGTTAATGCATGCGCGTCTGTAGCAGGGGTGTGGCGTAGAGCATTTGGGGAGTCACAGAGGAGGGGACAATTAATTCTGCTTGGACAGCCTTCAAAGAGAGCTGTGGAGCAGCAAGCAGGGCTGTCCCCAGAGCTGGGACCCTGAAGGGTAAGTAGGGTTCAGCTGATGGTCAGGAGGGACATAGAACAGGAGCTGTGGGCGCTGAGGCCCAGTCCTACGAATACCTTTCCTTTCCTCTGCAGGGCATCCCCTGTCCCTTTGATATCATCACTTAGTGTCTATGATCAGAGCTGCCCATCATAATGAGGCACATGACCCAGCCAGCCAATCAGTCTTTCTCCTGGGACTCTTTTCCTCAGAATTTGTGCTAGCTTAAGAAGAGCAGAGCCATTTGGTCTTTGGGTCCTAAAGAGATTATTCATGAGGTCTGATGACTGAAACTTTCCAGGTCCTCATCTTCCCAAGGCCTGGTGGATTAACTCCTCCTTCTATTTCATGAGCGGTCCAGCTTTCTTTCATCAATTTTTTTTTTTTTTTTTTGGTTTTAGCCAGAATAAATTGCAAACAAAGAACGTTAATCGAAATGGCAGTTGGTGCCAGGATGAGGATTATAGACGATAGATCCCGAGGGAAAGAGGGAATCTGGGATAGGATTGCGGGGCAGAGATGCTTGGGGCCTTAGTGGTGGCTGCCATTCAGGAGGGAGGCCCCTGGATGAGATGGTGCTTTGACAGTATCAGGTCAATTAAAGAGGGAAGAACTTAACATCTCCAGCAGTGTTCGCCATATGATATTTAAGATTTGTTTATTTCTTTTGTTCTTTCCTAATGGAATGTAAATTCCTTGAGGGAAGGGAGCTTTCAGGCATGGCTGGATCATGGCTTGCACAGAGCAGGCCCTGGTGATGAACCAGTGCACACATGCGTTAACAGCAAGCTCTAGCTTAGAATTTCTAGACTAAAACCCACACAGGTCATTGCAGAAAGGATGGAAGGAACTTGATCTTCATTCTCAAAAATCTGGGGAGGAACTGTGGAAATCAATGTTGAAGCTTTCTCCTCTAAGAATAAAACTTGAGGTCAGCTTGGATTTATTAGCGTTGAGATAAGATGTTTCTTCTAGGTCTGGTTTAACAAGAGATAGACTTTAACATTCATGAAAAAGCTATGGAAGTGGAAACAAAAAGAAAACACTAAGAATTTAACTCAGCGAGAAGCAATTGTGGTGTCCTAAACATGAGAAAAATGTACCACCTTCCTTTAAATAAGGAGGGGGGGTGTTGTGACTGATTGCACAAAAAGCAAAGTCAATCTAACTATCTGCTGCTTACTTATAAAAGCACATATAAAAAGCTACTCATGGCAAGGTATTACATGTCGAGTAAAAGATCTTTTGAACTTTCACAATTGTGGGAAATTGAGGGCTTGCTACCATGATTTAAAAAGCCACAGGAATAAAGCATTAAAGAGCTAGTGTTACTCTATAATGGTAAAAGATACATAGCAGAAAGCAATGACCTGTGGCTGGGGACTAACTGCTCATTTTCCAGATATTTATTATTAAACCCATTAATGAAGTACAAATGGATGGCTGCCAAGGAAGCAGAGGATACTCATGTCGAAGAAATAGAAAGCATGACCCTTATATACATTCACAGAAGAGAAAAGGAAAATGGCTGAATATTTTTGACCAAAAAACTTAAGCGGCTCCTCTGTCTTTACCGGAGACTCTCTTCAAGGATTGCAAGGATAAAGGAACTCTGCTAAATAGTCTGTTTTGCATTGTAGACAAGGATGGTTATTCTTGTGGGGAGTGTGTTCCCTGTCTCTGGCGTTTCCATCCAACATGTCAAACACCTGTGGGTTAACACTCCTGGTCTCCCTCCACCCATTCCCTCATTCCTCCCTGCGTGATTCTTTTTTTTTTTTTTTTTTATAAAGCATAGCCTATTTATCAGAGTGTGTCTTTTTTTTTTTAAGAGAGAGAGAGAGAGAGAA